CACCCCCGCCACACCATTCTCTCATGTCACTGTTCGTTTTACACAGCACCTACCGCTGTCTCATGTGTCTGGTTTGCTTATTTTCTCATTATTGTCTGTGGCTCCAGCGAGAGCAGGCCTTGTCAGTAAGGACGGCCTTGGTCTCACCGTTCAAGGGGTGGGAAGGAAGGACAGCATCCAGGAAGCAAGGCCCTCTCTTAGCTGGGTGGGCCTCTGCTGCCCTCTCCTGGGGAGGCCGAACTCGAGACACCACTGGGAGAATGCCTGTTCTAGGCCTGCGTGGGAAAAGCAGGAAGAGAAACAGGGGTAGGAGTGGGAAAATATTCACAGATTCCTGTAATAGTAAGTTTCTCCCCAAGTTACCAAATCCAGGACCTTATCTCTGGCAGTGCTGCTTCCTGAGCTCCTTAGATGTCTCCTCCTTCAGTGTTGGAAGAAAAGGAACCTTGCCAGGTTGGTAATTCATTTACTCATTTATTTATTCACTCATTTATTCAACAGATATCAGAGCATATTATGTACTCAGGATGCAGTTTGGGGAATAAAACACGCTCTTTCCTCAAGGAGTGAAGACAACTCTGTATATATAAAAGGCTAATATGCTAAGGGACAGTCAGGGTAATGATGTCATGTAGCAATGCCTGCCTTCCTTTCCCTAGGGACTAGCCTCCTTGCAGTTTCTTCAGTCCAGGAACACGACTTGCTTTATAGCCAGGTGGAAACATTTCACACTTTAACCAAGTGTCTGTGAAGCATTTTCCCATGCCTCATCTCATTTGATCCTCACAGAAGTCCTGGAGTAGGTAGATAGGAGACTTGGTGGAATTCTATTTTCTTTTCATTAGTTGGAATATGGAGATTTAGAAAGCTTAGAAACTTGCCCTATCTAGAAAAGGCTAAGCTGACTCACACATGCACAATACATATAAAGCTCTCACTGGTGCCAATCGCACGTGTGTGTCCATCTGTCATTGTTGATTGTGAATTTGGTTGAAACTTATAAAGGGCAAATAGTGATATTAAAATATTCTAATTAATTTCAATGTGCACGGATTCGTGCACCAGGCCACTAGTAGATAGATAATTATAATAGTTTCTAAAGTGAAATGATACGAGGAACACCCAAGCCATTATGGGCACATAAAGGAGGGGTACTTGACTGGCACTGTGGTGGTGGGGTGGGGGCACAACAAGGAGGTGGCCATAAAATGTGTCCCCACACGGGAACTGAATGTTAACAGTTGAATCGGAATTGTAGGCACCAAGTTACTATCTCATCCCATAGCTCTCCATCATTATTAAACCTGAAGGGCAATTCTTGTTTCCTCCAAGGAAATTCTGCCTGAAGTCTTCCCTCCTTTAACCTCGGTGTTTGCCTCTTAGCGCCTTGGCTTTCCTAACTGTAAAAAGAGGGGCTGCTACGAGATGTTACCTTCACACACCCTTAACATGACAGAACTCTAAGGATGCTCACATCGGACTTGTAAAAGCATCTCCCCAGGAGCAGGTTGGCATGTGCAATGAATGTGTAAAACCCGAAGTTTTTCAGCACCCACGGGAAACTCAGCTTGAATCCAGAAGAACCAGGTGCTCTGCATATATTAGCCTCTCACTAAGGGCTTGTTGAAAAGGATGAACTCTCAGCATTCTTACACCACTCCCGTTGTTCTCCTGGGTTGCTGAGTTTATCGATAGGGTGATAGCACGTCCCTGGTGGATTTGTTGTGAGTTGTCACCATATCCGGGCTCGGTAGCCATTTCTAGCCCATAGTAGGCCTTCATAGATAGCGGCTGTTATTTCAGGGTAGCAGGACCAATTGGACTTGCAGAGGGAAGTCACTGAGGAGAGAGTCACAAGTGTGGCCATGCTGGTGAGAAAAGGGTGTAAACCAAGTTTTCATGTTGCAGGTTAGGGCTATTTTAGTGTGAAACGGAAAACAGTGCCCATGTCCCTTAGATCATGTGGTCCTGCCCCCTTGTTCTCGTGCCCACTTCCAGGGCTGTGCTCTCTGGAGGAGGATTCTTACTGCCTCTTCAGTTTCTGGGGGCTCCTGGCCGCATCCCTTCAATCTTCACGTGGCCCCTCCTCCATCCTCATCCTGTGTGTTCACCTGGCCCCAACCCCTTGTTCACATGCCCACTCTTACGTGATCACATGGCCCAACTCCCTTGAGACCTTGGATCGTTTGTTTCAGGGGTGCCACCTCCCTGGTTAGCTGTTTGCCTCTGCTCTCACATCTGTCAACAGTCCCTTTGCCAAAGTCCTTCCAGAAAATCTTTCAGATGCGCCATCTTTTTCCTGCTGGGATTGTGACAGCTGGGATTGAAAAGGAGAGCAGTCTGTCCAGAGTTCATGCAAGAGATCCAGAGGGGCATATGCTGTCTCTTTAAGGCCCTTCTGAAGGGTAACCAGGTATGGCCCAATGATTCTTTTCTGTCTTTATCCACTGAATTTTTCATTTTATTTTTATAGTTTATTTTATTGATTTTAAAGGAAGGGGGGGAGAACAAGAGCAAGAGAAACATTGATTTGTTGTCCCACTTATTATACATTCATTGGTTGATTCTTGTATGTACTCCGACTAGGGACTGAACCCACAATCTTGGCATTATCGGATAACACTATAACCAGTTGGGCTACCTGGCCAGGGCTTGGTAATTCTGTTTCTGTTTGGTTCTCCTTTATATCTTCTATTTCTTTGTGGAGATTTTTCCATTTCTTTGCTGAAACTATTTTTTTTCCCATTTGTTTCAAACACGTTCATAATTGCTTGTTGAAGCATTTTTATCATGGGTACTTTAAAATCTTCATCAGATAATTCTAATTATCTGTCATCTCAATTTTTGCATCTATTGTCTTCTTAAAATTCAGTTTGAGATCTTCCTAGTTCTTGGTATGATTATATTTTTAAGAATTGGAACTCATTAGGGGGAACGAACATTTTTGTATTTTCTGAGACTGCTTTGGCATGGGAGGAGGGAGGGGACTTCATGGTGGAAGTGGAATTTGATTCCCTACTTCACCTCCACTGATAACCAAGGTAAGTTGAGCTCTCTTTACTGCTGGTGGATTGCAGCTCTCCTCATGGTCTCCACTAGTATTATGATGATGTGACTTCATTACTGCTAGGTAATGGTGGGAGTACTAACTTTTCAGTAGATCTCCTCTGATACTACCCTGTGGGAAGGCAGGTGGAAGCAGATATCCAGGTTCCCTACTGACACCATGGAGGGGGAGAGCTCCTTACTGGCTGGTGGGATGAAAATCATGGTTCCCAACTTTGCTTTCTGTGATACCACCCTGGCAGGGGTACAGGAGTGAGTGCTTTGATCTGAGCACACCTCTGGGAACTGCCTTTGCCTGAAGTTGATAACCTCACCCTAGGTCTATGCCCCTTTTCTAGTCTATGTGGGGTATATTGGTCTGGCCATTTGTTTCAATAGGATACACATCTCTGCAGAGCCATCCTAGCTTGAGCTTGTGGGACTGACTGAGGTCTTTGTTGAGACTACATCAGCTCAACTTCTCTCTCTACCGAATCCTGCTTCCTTCATTCCCGCACAGGTGTTGATCCAGAAAACTCCTCCAATAAACTTCCTGCATGCAAATCTCCAACTCAATCTGTCCCACCAGCACTTCATCCCATGGCAAGTATTTGAACACTTTGAGATTAGTTGTGTGGAATGTTGTGCCTATTGCTCAGCTTCAGAGCGTTTCATGTGGAAAGATGCTGTGTTCAATGAGCTTTCCATTTCAATGACAATAAGGATGGGGATCAGAGAAATGGCAAGTTACAAACAATACCTGTGCTAGACCCGGGTTATGGAGTTCTGGCAAGTGTGAGGTTGGGTAGTTATCAGTGCAACTACCGACAGACCTTTTAGTTGGGATGGCCTCATGTGAATTAAAGTGCATATAAGTGCTTAATGGTCTTGGAGTGGTAGCTTAATTGGCTCAAAAAGGATGACAGCAACCAAGCTCTGGGTTTCTGGTAAGGATAGCAGTGTCAATGGTCCCACTCTAGCCACCTGAATTGCATGACCTCTCACTGTATTTGAGTGTCTCTCACATAATCCATTTGTTAACAGTTGGGTATTTTTCCTACTAATGGACCTTGAACTTATGCAGAACTACTTCATCTCCTATCATGACACATATTCTATAATTACCTAACAACCAGCCCCTATCTTAACTTTGGTCTGGAAACCAAGATTTTTTTTTCCAAAATGTTAGGAATTGGTTCAAGAAACAATACAGAAGTTTCTTTTTTAAACTTCTTTCATCCCATTTTAGAAAAGTAGAATCCATTGTGCTTACTCATATTGATGACTTTATCAATATACCTAATGAGAGTAAGTTTTTGTGTGTGTTTTTTAAATCCTCACCTGAGGATTTTTTCTATTGATTTCTAGAAAAAGTGTAAGGGAGGAAGTGAGGAAAGCAAGGAGAGAGGGAGGGAGAGGAAGGGGAGGACAGAGGGAGAGAGGGGAAAGAAACACGATGTGAGAGACACATTGATAGGTTGCCTCCTGCACACACACCCGGGTGATCAAACCTGCAATCCTGTGGTGCACAGGCTGATGCTTTAACTGTTAAGTCAGGGTGAAAGTTTTTTTTTTTTAAATTATATTTTTATTGATTTCAGAGAGGGAGGGAGAGGGAGATAGAAACATCAATGATGAGAGAGAACCATTGATCGGCTGCCTCCCGCACGCCCCCGATTGGGGAGCGAGCCTGCAACCTGAGCATGCGCCCTTGACCAGAATTAAACCTGGAACCCTTCAGTCCACCGACCGATGTTCTATCCATTGACCCAAACCAGCTAGTGTGAGAGTAAATTTTAAGACTAAAAACTTAACAGTTTGTTGAGTAATTTGCCCACAGCAACTGTGGGGTGTGGTCTGCAGTGTTCTTTCTTTTTAGCAGCAAACCCCAGTGGCTCAAGAGGACATACAATGTGGATGTCCTGTCCCTAGACTACTCAAGCTCAGTAAACACCTAAAAAGAACACAACCTTTTTATTTCTTTTTGAGATATAAATGTTCAATTTGGATAATGAGGATAGGCAAGTACTAAAGACAATGGCTAGCTCTTCCATTTATTCCAATGAATTCCAATGGAGGAAGAGGAAATAGGATCTAGACTGTTTTTGATCTATTAAATATTTACCTTATATCTACAACTTGGTACTTCTTGAGCAGGACTGCCCCAATAAGGCGAGATGTGATAGTAGTCGAAGATGGAGATGACCAATTTGGAGAATTCAACATATATATGCAGTTTAGTCCGATGTCCCCATATGGTCTCTAAAATTTTGTATTTGGTCAGAGCTGGCTCATCTTTGCTCCACTGCCTCAGATTCTGCTTCACCACTTTTGAGGAGAGTAGGTTCAGATCGTCTGGGAGCTGGTGGGGGCCATTTCCTTGGCAGCTTGCTGGGCCAACCAGTACTTGTATCTTTTTGTCTTGGGCCTCTCAAAGTTCACCACAGACATAGGTACCCTGATAGTGTCAAGCCCATTTACCTGCATACAAAACAATAGGAATCCCCAGAGATGAGTTGGGCAGGTAATAGCCAACAACACCCAATCCCAGCTTTTCACCAAGTCAGAAAAAGGAGACAGTATGTAAAATACTCACCGTCACCTCACACCAATACTCGCCCCATCGCGTGATGGGCTCTTCTGGTAACTTTAATGCATGTGGGGCTACCACAACACCAAGCTGGGAAAAAATCATAGAAAAAGGAGCTCTGTTTACATGTCTGTCGTTATAGGCAACCTCATAAAGAGGGTTCTAGAATTTCCTGTATAGTTTATCCTGGCTGATCCCACAAGAGGGCAGAGAAGTTAGTGGTAGAGAAACTCAGTCCTCATTTCTCAGAAAGAGAGGTGGATTCACAAAAAGAAACAGGGCTAGAGACCAAAATTACAAGAACAATTTTCCAGTGAAGTCATATTTTCTCAGGTTTTCCCGAAAGGAAATACCATATTTTCTTATCTGTTTTCAGATTCTATGTGACCAACCTTAGTCCTTAGCCGTTTCCCTCCCACACCCCTGCAAACTAGCCAGGAACACTTTCCCTAACTCTAGCTGGACTCACACCTGTTTCTAACAAAAAGCTCAATCCCAGGCTTTCTTCCCATAGGTAGCTTCCACCATCAGTGGTATAGTACTGTTTGGAAACACTCACGTTTTTTAGAAAATGGCGGGCAACTATTTCAGGGTTTAGCTCCCATTTGACATTGTTCTTCATCCCCACCTCCAGGTGACAGCTCTTCAGAAATTTCACTGTCTGAGAGGAATTATAAACAGAGGCTATGTTAGAGTTAGAAACATATTAGCAAGAGGCACAAGGTCTGAGAGCTCAGGAAAAGGGCACAATTTCTGCCTCACAGCCAGCCAAGACGGTGAGAAGATAAATGGAAAGACAGAACATTCTTGTCCCAAGGCTGATATTGTGGAAAGATGTTTTTGTGACACTTTGGAGGAGAATGTACTCTATATCTGGTTGTCCCTCATCAAGTGGCCGTTTTTCATCAATTGGGGCCACTAGCCCTGCCCAGTTGGCTCAGTTGGTTGGACCATGTCCCATAAACCAAAAGGTGGTGGACTCTGTTTCTGGTCAGGGCACACATAACTAGGCC